TCCTCTGATGCTGCTTGGCCTGCTGTGTTCATCCAGCTCTACACCTTGCTATCTGCAGCTCATTTCACCTGGTTATTGGTGAGCAGAGAGTGTGCAAATGGATGTAGGTCCCATGAAGTGAACTGGTGAGAAAATAGTGTTGTGTGAGTAAAAAACAACTTGTCTCTTGTTAGCCGTCAGATTGAAAGACTAGCTTTAGTTTCTTTTTTGAACATCTTAAGAAGTCCTGTCAGAGATGCTACACTCCCAATTTTCCAATCCTAGGACATTCTATTTCACTGTGGGACAGAAGCACAAGGAGCTTAAATAATTGATCTGACCTCACTGAATCCTGTGGGGTTTGCACAAGTGCATTGGCAAGTAAGCCAGCTGTGAATTCTGTCCTAGCTGCTGTAATGGTACATGAACAATGCGTTTGATTAGACTTATCACCAAACTAAAGACAGTGAAAATGATTACCTACATTTCTAGTTGTGCCAATTTCTGAAATAATCATTTGGCAAAAGCTGGACTACTCTGTCACACATGGAGCTTTCACACTTATTTAATGCTCTACTCATTTGATAACTTTTCTCATTTTAAGGTCAAGAATCTGCTTCAGTGAAATAAAAAGTATTCATTGAATTAAAAACATACCTACAATGGAGGTAAAATGGAGGTTAATGGCAGAGCATAGAGATATTGCGACATGATAACCAATTTCTTATTATCTAAATGCATCAGGAAATTATTTGCCCAAAATATATTGTATTTATCATTGATTGTGTAATTGTAGTTAGAGCTATCAATGTACTGACTTCCAATGATATAGTTTATGTTCCATTTATTGGAAGCATTGTAGTACCAAGGCAACAATCACAGTTCAGCCATTTCTGTCGTTCAAGGGGCAACCAACTGTTTCAAATGTGAACGTTATCTCAAATGAGCAGCTAGCAAAAAAAAAAACAAATCTCCAAACCATCATTTGTGATGAATGGCATCTCATGGGCTATGCAACAAACCATGGAATAATGAACTCTGTTGCAAAATGTATACCCCTGAGTGTCAGCTTTAGAGACATCTAAACTCCAAACAGTCCCATCACCACAAACACTGCCAGCAACTTTGTTGCGTGATCCAGTAACCATTAAATGAAATGATTTGGTAATACAGTCAATGTCATTGGATTTGCTGACTTTATTCTTCAGATAAATTAATGAATCAGAACTGTTGTGTTTTGTGAATGTGCAAAATTGAGAGTAAGTTAATTCATCAGGACTTAAACCAAGTGAATTCAAGAAAAAATCATTTGACAGTTTTACAAATCAGGCATTTTGAAAAATGTATATTATTAACTTTTTAAAAATACTTCATTCACTCCACAATAAGTAAATACTCTTTAAATGGTCAATAAAGCTTTAACTGCTGTCACTTGCTTAAAGATAATGTAGCACTTATTGTGAGCTACCAATGGGGGCTTAAAATGAGAGGAGTTGACTCTTCCTCTTGGTAATAGGTGCTCTGAATGGTACTGGATTAGTCTACAGGTACAGTAAGGAGGAAAGATAATAGAATATTATCATTTATTGCAAGGACAATTGAATACATAAGTACATGGGTTATGTTTCAGTTATATAGGGCATTGGTGAGATCATATCATGAATACTATATATGTTGTAGATTTCCTCTCTTAAGGAAGGATATTAACACTAGGAAGAAGTTTGGAGATGGTTTACTGGACTAATATCTGGAATGAGTGAGTAGTCTTTTGAGAAAGATTGGACTTGTATCCATTGTAGTGATAGATGACTCCCTTGAAACACATAAGGTCCTGAGGGTAGTGATAAGGTGCAAATAAAAGGATATTTTCTTTGGTGGGAGAACCTAAAACAATGAGTCACTGTTTAAAGATGTACACTAAAGGAGAATTTTTTAAAAATCTAGGCCTGAGTCTTGGAAACTCTGCTTCGAACACCTCTTAACGAACAGAGTCCTTAATTAGCAAAGGGAAAGGT